TCCCCAGTGTACGTTTTATATAACAAGGATACTGTTTACCATAGTGCACGTTTTATATAACAAGGATACTGTTTATCATAATGTACGGTTTATATAACAAGGATACTGTTTATCATAGTGTACGTTTTATATAAAAAGGATACTGTTTATCATAATGTACGTTTTATATAACAAGGACACTGTTTATCATAGTGAACGTTTTATATAACAAGGACACTGTTTATCATAGTGTACGGTTTATATAACAAGGACACTGTTTACCATAGTGTATGTTTTATATAACAAGGATACTGTTTACCATAGTGCACGTTTTATATAACAAGGATACTGTTTATCATAGGGTACGTTTTATATAACAAGGATACTGTTTATCATACTGTACGTTTTATATAACAAGGATACTGTTTACCATAGTGCACGTTTTATATAACAAGGATACTGTTTATCATACTGTACGTTTTATATAACAAGTACACTGTTTATCGTAGTGTACGTTTAATATAACAAGGATACTGTTTATCATACTGTACGTTTTATATAACAAGGACACTGTTTACCATAGTGTATGTTTTATATAACAAGGATACTGTTTCCCATAGTGTACATTTTATATAACAATGATACTGTTTATCATAGTGTACGTTTCATAAAACAATGATACTGTTTATCCCCAGTGTACGTTTTATATAACAAGGATACTGTTTACCGGAGTGTCCGTTTTATATAACAAGGACACTGTTTATCGTAGTGTACGTTTTATATAACAAGGACACTGTTCATCATAGTGTATGTTTTATATAACAAGGATACTGTTTCCCATAGTGTACATTTTATATAACAATGATACTGTTTATCATAGTGTACGTTTCATAAAACAATGATACTGTTTATCCCCAGTGTACGTTTTATATAACAAGGATACTGTTTACCATAGGGTACGTTTTATATAACAAGGACACTGTTTATCATAGTGTATGTTTTATATAACAGGGATACTGTTTATCATAGTGTACGTTTTATATAACAAGGATACTATTAACCATAGTGTACGTTTTATATAACAAGGACACTTTTATCGTAGTGTACGTTTAATATAACAAGGATACTGTTTATCATACTGTACGTTTTATATAACAAGGACACTGTTTACCTACTGTTTCCCATAGTGTACGTTTTATATAACAATGATACTGTTTATCATAGTGTACGTTTCATAAAACAATGATACTGTTTATCCCCAGTGTACGTTTTATATAACAAGGATACTGTTTATCATACTGTACGTTTTATATAACAAGGATACTGTTTACCGGAGTGTACGTTTTATATAACAAGGACACTGTTTATCATAGTGTACGGTTTATATAACAAGGACACTGTTTACCATAGTGTACGTTTAATATAACAAGGATACTGTTTATCATACTGTACGTTTTATATAACAAGGATACTGTTTACCGGAGTGTCCGTTTTATATAACAAGGACACTGTTTATCGTAGTGTACGTTTTATATAACAAGGACACTGTTTACCATAGTGTATGTTTTATATAACAAGGATACTGTTTACCATAGTGCACGTTTTATATAACAAGGATACTGTTTATCATACTGTACGTTTTATATAACAAGGATACTGTTTACCGGAGTGTCCGTTTTATATAACAAGGACACTGTTTATCGTAGTGTACGTTTTATATAACAATGACACTGTTTATCATAGTGTATGTTTTATATAACAGGGATACTGTTTATCATAGTGTACGTTTTATATAACAAGGCCACTGTTTATCATAGTGAACGTTTTATATAACAAGGACACTGTTTATCATAGTGAACGTTTTATATAACAAGGACACTGTTTATCTTAGTGTACGTTTTATATAACAAGGATACTGTTTACCGGAGTGTCCGTTTTATATAACAAGGACACTGTTTATCGTAGTGTACGTTTTATATAACAATGACACTGTTTATCATAGTGTATGTTTTATATAACAGGGATACTGTTTATCATAGTGTACGTTTTATATAACAAGGATACAGTTTGTAATAGTGTGCGTTTGTATATAACAAGGTCACTATTCACAATAGTGAACGTTTGTATATAACAAGCATACTGTTTCACAATAGTGTACGTTTTTCTAAACAAGAATACAGTTTGTAATATTGTGCGTTTGTATAATACAAGGTCACTGTTTCACAATAGTGAACGTTTGTATATAACAAGCATACTGTTTCACAATAGTGTACGTTTGTCTTAACAAGGATACAGTCTGTAATAGTGTGCGTTTGTATAAAACAACGTCACTGTTCACAATAGTATACGTTTGTCTAAACAAGGATATTGTTTTGTAGTAGTTTATGTTTGCCTATAACAAGAATACTGTTTTGTAGTAGTTTATGTTTGTCTATAACAAGAATACTGTTTTGTAGTAGTCTATGTTTGTCTATAACAAGAATACTGTTTTGTAGTAGTTTATGTTCGTCTATAACAATAACACTGTTTTGTAGTAGTTTATGTTTGTCTATAACAAGAATACTGTTTTGTAGTAGTCTATGTTTGGCTATAACAAGAATACTGTTTTGTAGTAGTCTATGCTTGTCTATAACAAGAATACTGTTTTGTAGAAGTGTATGTTTGCCTATAACAAGAACACTGTTTTGTAGTAGTTGATGTTTGTCTATAACAAGAATACTGTTTTTTAGTAGTTTATGTTTGTCTATAACAAGAATACTATTTTGTAGAAGTGTATGTTTGCCTATAACAAGAATACTGTTTTGTAGAAGTGTATGTTTGCCTATAACAAGAACACTGTTTTGTAGTAGTTGATGTTTGTCTATAACAAGAATACTGTTTTTTAGTAGTTTATGTTTGTCTATAACAAGAATACTGTTTTTTAGTAGTTTATGTTTGTCTATAACAAGAATACTGTTTATAACAAGAATACTGTTTTGTAGTAGTTTATGTCTGTCTATAACAAGAATACTGTTTTGTAGTAGCTTATGTTCGTTTATAACAAGAACACTGTTTTGTAGTAGTTGATGTTTGTCTATAACAAGAATACTGTTTTTTAGTAGTTTATGTTTGTCTATAACAAGAATACTATTTTGTAGAAGTGTATGTTTGCCTATAACAAGAACACTGTTTTGTAGTAGTTGATGTTTGTCTATAACAAGAATACTGTTTTTTAGTAGTTTATGTTTGTCTATAACAAGAATACTATTTTGTAGTAGTTTATGTTTGTCTATAACAAGAATAATGTTTTGTAGTAGTTTATGTTTGTCTATAACAAGGATACTGTTTTGTAGTAGTCTATGTTTGCCTATAACAATAACACTGTTTTGTAGTAGTCTATGTTTGTCTATTACAAGAATACTGTTTTGTAGTAGTTTATGTTCGTTTATAACAAGAACACTGTTTTGTAGTAGTTGATGTTTGTCTATAACAAGAATACTGTTTTTTAGTAGTTTATGTTTGTCTATAACAAGAATACTATTTTGTAGTAGTTTATGTTTGTCTATAACAAGAATAATGTTTTGTAGTAGTTTATGTTTGTCTATAACAAGAATAATGTTTTGTAGTAGTTTATGTTTGTCTATAACAAGAATGCTGTTTTGTAGTAGTCTATGTTTGTCTATAACAAGATTACTGTTTTGTAGTAGTCTATGTTTGTCTATAACAAGAACACTGTTTTGTAGTAGTCCATGTTGTCTATACCAAGAATACTGTTTTGTAGTAGTCTATGTTTGCCTATAACAAGAATACTGTTTTGTAGAAGTGTATGTTTGCCTATAACAAGAACACTGTTTTGTAGTAGTTGATGTTTGTCTATAACAAGAATACTGTTTTTTAGTAGTTTATGTTTGTCTATAACAAGAACACTGTTTTATAGTAGTTTATGTTTGTCTATAACAAGAATACTGTTTTTTAGTAGTTTATGTTTGTCTATAACAAGAACACTGTTTTATAGTAGTTTATGTTTGTCTATAACAAGAACACTGTTTTGTAGTAGTTGATGTTTGTCTATAACAAGAATACTGTTTTGTAGTGGTCTATGTTTGTCTATAACAAGAATACTGCTTTGTAGTAGTCTATGTTTGTCTATAACAAGAACACTGTTTTATAGTAGTTTATGTTTGTCTATAACAAGAATACTATTTTGTAGTAGTTTATGTTTGTCTATAACAAGAATAATGTTTTGTAGTAGTTTATGTTTGTCTATAACAAGAATACTATTTTGTAGTAGTTTATGTTTGTCTATAACAAGAATACTATTTTGTAGAAGTGTATGTTTGCCTATAACAAGAACCCTGTTTTGTAGTAGTCCATGTTGTCTATACCAAGAATACTGTTTTGTAGTAGTCTATGTTTGCCTATAACAATAACACTGTTTTGTAGTAGTTTATGTTTGCCTATAACAAGAATACTGTTTTGTAGTAGTCTATGCTTGTCTATAACAAGAATACTGTTTTGTAGTAGTTTATGTTCGTTTATAACAAGAACACTGTTTTGTAGTAGTTTATGTTTGCCTATAACAAGAATACTTTTTTGTGGAAGTGTGTTACAAGGATAATGTTCGTCTTATTGTACAATTGTACATTTTTTTATGATACTATTAATCATTCTGCAGGTTTGTAATCAAACATCAGTTTATCCCTGTCTGAAAAGATGGCTGTTTTTACATTGGTTGAAAATACTTTTACCAATAAATAGAACATGGTGTGCATGTAGTGAATTCTGGTTGGATTGTGTTCTGTTATATTTCTGTTTAAACAGCTTTCCTTTAGAGTTCCCCACAGTAGCGTCCATCGCTGGGGTTTGCACAGCTGGCAGAGCCGATTTTTATTTAAATATCGAACTAGATGATTAGTATTGGTATATGTAATACATCTCAGTACATGTTTTTGCATATACTGTAAAAGTAGGTGATTCTTAACGTACGATGTTTTGATAGGTGACGTTACATTAATTGACCGACCTTGTCCTTGAAATAAGATACTACACCTTTCAGTTTTGCAAAGTATATTGGAAATCATCAGGCGTTCACTAACATCTATCTCTATTAGCAACAGTGTATGATGTATCGGGTAGATCAATGGCGGGCATGTGCTTATTGAAGCGCGTGTATATAAATGATAGATATCGACCCAGCTGACCAGATGGGGAGGAGGACACCAGTACATTGTCGCCAGTACCTGCCGGTTCTGTTAATGCCATAGTGTTAGTGTATTACACTTTCATGTAGAAGTACTGAGCCTCGACATCGGGTACTGCGATACTTACTAACCTATATATATATAGTTATGTTTTCCAGATAGAGGTCAAGCATGCCTACCCAGAGTGACTAAGGAATCTGTCGGAATCCGACCAGCCGCGTGCTTCAAACGTCACGCCGAAAACCATGGCACTACGAATCCACAAGTATTGGACCAGGTGACGTGAACATGGCGGGGGAGAAAAATGAGTCTGGTGACTCGCCTTCCTCCATATTGGACATCGCCCCTGTGGCACCCCTCCTGTGTTCGGAAGAAAAGCCGTCCAACGATGAGGTACCCCCAGTGACAGACACTGTTCCTCCCGCTGATGGAGGTTGGGGATGGTTCGTTGTTCTGGGCAGTTTTCTGGCTCATTTGATCATAGGTTAGTAAACAATATTTCTATTTTCAATGATCTCATCTAAAATACATTCACCTACTGACCTGCAATACTTTGAAGTGGTAGTTTCGTATACTGGAATTACGAAGCCAGCATTTTATTTTGATAAACATTTTCGTATAATCGCTTAGGAATCGTTTAAAAAAAGCCAAACGGTACAAGTTATAAAGGTAACGCATGTATTAAATACATTACACTCATATGGCAATGCAGACTATACATATCAACGTTGTTTGAAAAGACAGCCACGAGGTAGCTGTTGAAGATTTATTTAGAGGCAACACTTGCTCTCGGTTTATACCGTGAAATGTTAACGTTGTTCAATAAGACATAGATGACACATATGTATTTTAACGAAAACTGGACGGCAGTTTAACCATTCTTGTTACGTATTATGCTAAGATAAAAATTGCGAAGTGAAGGTTGAAATGGGACCGGTAACTGAGCGTGCTGCAGCTGTCACCTGTCGTAAAGGCTGGATTAGCATTAATTTGGTGGTATTAGGTATTATGTAGCAATGTAGCATGCCCCGGTCAACACTATGTAACGCCACTGTTTGTCCCGATTAAGTTCACATAACACACGTGCCCCTACCATGCCTGCATAATATCTGTGTTATGTCCCTGACAACCCTACATAACAGCATTGGTGTGTCCATGACAATCCAAATAATACCCATGTCATGTGTCCCTGTCATCCCACATAATACCCGCGTCGTATCCTTAACAACCCGTCACAACACCCGTGTCGTTTCCCTGTCAACCCACACAACAGCCATGGTGTGTCCCTGACAACTCCACACGATACCCGTGTAGTGTCCCTAAAAAATGCCAAATAATAACCTAGGTATGTCCTTGCTGACCCCATATAACACATGTTTTATGTTCCTCTTAATCCCACATAATACCGATAATGTGACCCTGCCAGTCCTACTTAACACGTGCACCCGTCTTATAAATGTCCCTGACAACCACACGTCATACCCTCGCTATGTCCCTGTCACCCCCACATGACACCCGTGTTATTTCCCCACATTGTACCCGTACGTGTACCTGTTAACCCTACATGTATGTGTAGAACTCGCGATGCCCTTACTAATGATAAGATCATAAACACAATATGTTACCGCGTGGTCACCATGGCGATATGTATACATTACAACTTGCTGGGCGTGAAGCTGGATACAAAAAATCCAATTTTAAATTTGCACGTTAACGATTTTTGTACCAGATGTAACAGTATCGTTGCCTAGGAACTGAGTACTGCCGATAGTAGTTACCTGGTCATGAAGTAATCATTTTGTCGCACGTCTATTTGTACAGAGTACTGCATTACTGTGCACTAAACTGTACAGACGTTAAGGTAGACAGACGTCCAGACATCCAGACATTCAGATATACATAGTCGTAAGGTAGACGGACGTCCGGACTTACTGTACTTCTCTCATGGTAGAAGGATGTCCATATGTACGTAGTCGTAAGGTAGACGGACGTCCAGACGCACGTCTCTGTAAGGTAGACGAACGTTCAGATTAACGGAGCTGTACGGTAGAAGAATGTCCAGATGTACGTCACTAAAAGGTAGAAAGATGTCCAGAAGTAAATTACCGTATGGTTGAAGGATGTCCAGATGTACGTAACTAAAAGGTAGAAAGATGTCCAGAAGTAAATTACTGTATGGTTGAAGGATGTCCAGATGTACGTCACTAAAAGGGAGAAAGATATCCAGAAATAAATTACTGTAAGGTTGAAGGGTGTCCAGATGTACGTCACTGTACGTCACTGTAAGGAAGACCAGCGTTCAGATTTACCTAGCCGTAAGGCAGACGGATGTCCACATGTACGCCAATTTACGGTAGACATAATTATGTCCAGTTGTGCGTCTCCGTGAGGTAGACGGGTAAAACAAATAACGTCGCTTAGAGGTAGACAGACGTCCAGAAGTAAATTACTGTAAGTTAGACAGTAAGATGAAAAATAAAGATCAATTAAACGTTACCGTAAGGTAAACGAATACCAAGATGTAAGTTAATGTAGGTAGAGCGGCATTTTGATTGCAAATCTTTTGAAATCAATCAGATAAAATGTCCCAAACTTTTCGTTTCAAAGTTTCTCTTTAATTAAGATGTATTGGAACCGGCATTAAAGTTAAGTTCAATGGGTTTCATTTAAAAATGCACCTCTATGTGCGTTATATAATTATGCTTGCGTGCTGGATGCGGTATGTTGGTGTATTTGCCGACGTTATAGGACTACCTCACTGAAATACCATGCCGAATGCACCCGACACAGATATCCGACCGGTTATATTATACTGATAGCGAGTAAACTAGTCCATTCGGACCTTGTAATTATATAACCTTCCATGTTTTGGCGGACTCTCAACACCAAGGCCGAAAGCTAGGTAATGAGCAAGCGGTTTGTAACGAGGTATAACGTTGCATAAAAACTACTTATTAAAAAAAATGTTTTTAAGAGTCGTTTAAATATTCTCTTCTTCTATCTAGGCGGATTCATGCGATCTGGAGGCGTGATATTCATTGAACTGCAGCACAAATTTCACCAATCAGCGTCAGAAACAGCCTGGGCAGTATCCCTACACACCAGCCTCCGTCTCTTGTTCGGTGAGTTGGCGCGTAAACACAGTGTTACGTCATAAGCTATGACGTACAACACTGAATTGCAACGAGCTATAGCCTTCTCTATTTATTGCCATACGTACTTACTGAATGAAATATAGGCTACATATGTAACTGTTGGGAGTATCTTATGCTAGAAAAAACAAGACATTGCATAAGATCAAGTCCAGAGTTATTTCCATGAGACAACGTTTTTAATATTGCATCTTACATTCAGTCGACATTCGTGTGCACCTTTTAAGCGTTATTTCTTTGTTTACATGTAATTTTCGAACTTTGGACAGATTGAGGTGGACCGTCGAATCTTCGATCTGTATACTGACACTGGTAGATGTCGATATCATATGTAGTTAATAACTTGTCTTTAACACCTAAATATTTACTCGGCGGTTTATCAACACACATCCTTACCGTAAAAACGTGAACTTAAATCCAATCATTATTATTGCAAACGAACTAATGTTCGTACCACTCAGTACATCATAAGATGTTAACATCTCACGTTTTACATTAAAACACCATATTTAACGCCATCTTACGAATGCCATTTCTCAAAACTATCCTGTTATTTCTAGCTGCCACACACATACCAGTGATTTATGCTAAATATTTACGTATGTCCGTACCATTTAGTTATAATGTTCATAACAGGTAGATAATGTGCGTGCCGGTTCCTGTGTGTGATTGTTTTTTCTTTATATTTACATGGGATGGTATCCAGAGCTATATTTTAATATTATCTTAAAGTCAGATTACACAAACATGTCAAATATGAACATAAATATTTATTTATGCAATGACAGGCATTTAAGCACGGCACATACTGATGCATGTTAATGACTATATTAATAAAAAATGAACAGGTAAACCAACATTTGTCGAATTGCGCAGTGTCTAAATCATAACAGGTTTCGTGATTGTCGAAGTGAACGTTTGCGATAAGTATAGGAACAGTATGGGAATAGCATTTATTATCACGAACTTGAGTGGAAATGGGACTGTTTATAAATGATCAAATATCATGTTTAATTCATCTTAGATCGTCAATAATTGCTTTAACTTCTAAAGGTGTGTGACGTCATGTTAGAATGTCACTCAATTGTGATGCTAAATATAAGTATTTAGCGAACAAACCTCAAAAAAGTCTCTGTGACAGATAAAAAAGTAAGTTTGAAGTTAGGAAATACCTGTCATTTGTTTCGTGCTGCATATTATTAAATGACTCTTAACATGCAATGTCTGCTTCGAATATATGGAATGGAGTGCTCGTTAAGGTACTGTCCGATCGGGCCTGCAGAAAACCTTCGGCGACGAGAAATTCGGAGGTTTCGATGCCAAAAACCAAGCAATCAAAACGTTCGTAAATCGGGAAATCACTGAAAGTCATCACACATTCAAATGTATAAGCATTTGTTTAAAACACGATGTTCTTATACCCTAGACTTCCACAAGTCCTAATTCGTTTTGTTTGTTTTTTTGTTATATTTTCCCACAATATCTTTTACATAACTTAAGCCACGGCTTCGTCCGCCTTCAAAAGCACAACATCTCTTTGCAAGATGTTTGAATTTGACCATTGTGAAACCTGTAGTAAAACTATCCGTCGTCAATTATTTTCAAGCGTTACTACTCCAGAACAGCTACGTACATTTGACTTTATCTGGTCTGGACCATTGTTGGACCGACGAGACAAAGTGTTGTTTAAACTGAGGGTGAACCCACTAACTATATGTACAGTTCAGGCATGAAGAGATTATGAATATACTCGTGCTACCTGAAGCCCAAAAAAACCTCTGGATCCGCCACTGTACCTGGATAGGTTTTGGGGTCCGGCCCCGCTCATAGGTAATTAGTCTTAGTCGTAATTTGGAACAGTTTAGATCCCCGTCCTTTAATCATATTTTTATAGCTGCTAAATGTTAATAAAGACATGACTACTTGGATTTTCTCTAGCGTCTAGGCCCCACCCCTCGGAAGTCATGCCCGAAGATTGACCAATGAAAAAGTGTCGTTATAACATACACGTTGTAAAATACAATTTTTATGATCGTATTGAAAACGATTCTTGATAAACATACTTTTATAATGACTTGGCAGAATGCTTTATTCTATATATTTGCTATATATCGGTTTTTAGGTCCCCTAGCCAGCATGCTGTGTAACCGGTTTTCCTGTCGGACGGTGACTATCATCGGAAGCCTGGTGTCAGCGATCTCTGTCCTCGCCAGTGGCTTCGTTACCAATCTTTTCTTCCTATACCTCACAAATGGTCTTCTACTGGGTAAGAAGTCTTATCACATTGATTTTTTTACATTTATTCTCCCTTATTTATGAAACACCTGTTTTTATGAGAGCCTATTAATGTCTTGCATGTTAATAGAAAGTTCAATGAAAATAGTCAAATAATTAATTCATAATGAAAATTGATTTTTCTGGTGTACCCTGACGTGAGATCGATATATAAGTGCAATATGAATATCACCATCATGTTCCTTTGTCCCCAGGTCTGTCGAACCTATGCCTGTACATCGCTGTAATATAATGGGCCATCCTTTGTTGTTATAATTAAGACTAAACATGATTAAAAAGCACAAGTCGTATCAGTTATTGATTGCAAAACAGGTTGGCAGACTAAGCAGCAATTGATAAAGGGTGTTGGTAATGTGGTAGTATGAAAGCGCAGACGTTTGCTACTTGGTAGATTGTTACTATGGTAGTAACTAATATGTGTTACTGTTGTAAATTGTTACCATGGTTAGACTGATATCTGCTACGCTGGTAGACGGTTACTGCTGTAGTACAACCGTTTGTGATTGGTGTAGATCGTTACTATAGTGATAAGTTACCATGGTTATACAGACGTTTGTTACGTTGGTAGGCTGTTATATATGGCAGCACAACTGTATGTCACTATAGAGGATTGCTATTTAAGTAGCACAGATGTTTCAAACTGTGGTTAATTGTTACTTTGGCAAAACAAATATTTGTTACTGTGGTAGAGTGTTACTTTTGAAATACGTTACCATGGTTATACAAACGTTTGTTATTTGGTAGTATCTATGGCAGTACAAATGTTTGCTTCCGTGGTAAATTGTAGCTATGGTATTACAAATGTTTGCTACTGTGGTAAATTGTAGCTATGGTAGTACAAATGTTTGTTTCCGTGGTAAATTGTAGCTATGGCAATACAAATGTTTGCTACTGTAGTGAATTGTAGCTATGGTATTACAAATGTTTGCTACTGTGGTAAATTGTAGCTATGGTTTACAAGTGTTTGCTACTGTTGTACATTGTAGCTATGGTATTACAAATGTTTGCTACTGCTGTAAATTGTAGCTATGGTAGTACAAATGTTTGCTACTTCGGTTAATTATAACTATGGTATTATAAATGTTTGCTTCCGTGGTATATTGTAGTTATGGCAATACAAATGTTTGCTACCGTGGTGAATTGTAGCTATGGTATTACAAATGTTTGCTACTGTGGTAAATTGTAGCTATCGTATTACAAATGTTTGCTACTGTGGTAAATTATAACTATGATATTGCAAATGTTTGCTACTGGGTAAATTGTAGTTATGGTATTACAAACGTTTGCTACTGTGGTAAATTGTAGCTATGGTAGTACAAATGTTTGCTACTGTGGTAAATTGTAGCTATGGTATTACAAATGTTTGCTACTGTGGTAAATTATAGTTATGGCAATACAAATGTTTGCTACTATGGTAAATTGTAGCTATGGTAATACAAATGTTTGTTACTGTGGTAAATTGTAGTTATGGTATTACAAACGTTTGCTACTGTGGTAAATTGTAGCTATGGTAGTACAAATGTTTGATACTGTGATAAATTGTAGTTATAGCAATATAAATGTTTGCTACTGTGGTAAATTGTAGCTATGGAAGTACAAATGTTTACTACTGTGGTAAATTGTAGTTATAGCAATACAAATGTTTGCTACTGTGGTAAATTGTTACTATGGGACTACATATATGTATAACATGCAGTTCAAATTCAAATAAGTCTGATGAAAGAATTTAAATAAAAAACAGTACGATTTCCATAAATATATGAGGTATTGACATTTTTAGTCCGAACTATTTTCCAAGATGCGCAATACATTTGACGGAAACTGCGATGTGAGCTATCACGAATAAGGATAGTGTTATATATACGATATACATATTTATGAGAATGTAGTAGGCACCTGACTATCTCGTAGGAATAGTTATAGAGAATAATATATTATGTGCAAACTATACAGTTTATAAATCAAGACGATTTGTTTTAGCGTGATCTATTTTTATAAACTATACTATAACTGTTGAGTCACTCTGTTTACATCCTATTACGTATACATTATACGGTATATGACTTCTTAACCACTGTATTTACAGGTATAGGCCAGGCGCTGATGTACACCACATCCGTCGCCATTGTAGGCCTGTATTTCCACTCGCGGAGAGGCACGGCGGTTGGTATTGCCAACGCCGGAGTAGGGGCTGGCACGTTTTTATTCCCGCCACTGCTGGAGATAATGTTTGGGCAGTATAGCTTTTTGGGAACATTCCTCATCATGGCCGGTCTGTTCCTCAACGGGGTGGTGTGTGGCGCCCTCTACCGGCCTCTCAATGTAGATGAGGAGCTGGTTGTTGAGTACAAGTATGTATTCCTATGTACTGAAAATACATTGGTGGCACATATCCACATAAATCGAAGGGGATATTGCATTTGCGTCCATCTGTTAGTTTAAATTTTCGTTTCTTCTCAATTCGCTTTTAGTCCCATTACAAAACTTTTACATATAGGCCCTGCGACAATGGCTAGGAATTTAGACACAAGTGTGTAATTCAAACAGACGGATGCTTTATTTTGCCCATCAACAAGATGGCGAATTCAACACGAGGTCAATTATATGTAACATCTGTCTTATACTGACAGTCGAAACAACCTCGAACGGCACAGTGAAATGAAAACAGGAAGAACATTGCTTACTTCTTGATGTTTCTTTATGTTATACTCCCAACCAATGTTCCTCTAAGGATCCACTCTGATGGACTCCAATTGTCGTTATAAATATATTTTTCACTTCCAGTTGGTTCGCTAATAGTGTTGTTGTTTTTTGTATTTTACATTCTGTTCCGTTTCAAAACCTTCCATTCTCTTTTTGAAGCATTGAGGTCCGATTATTTATTTAATTCAGCTTTTGTTCTAATGGAGAAATCATTTTTCCGAATTGATGTCCTTTTGTGACTTGGAAGTATTTTCATGGAATTTTCCCTTACACTTCATCCTTCTGTGATATTCTTATGAAATTTGTTGCCGTTTTATTATGTTTTCCGCGCACTTTCTCGTACATTCCCGTGATCACGCCTCTCGTACGCTGATATGCTAGCGTTGGAAGTTTTGGCATTTGTTTTTCTATCGAGATAGGTGAGATTATCCATGCCAGGTGATTGTTTAGTTGTTTTCCTCTGCACCTAGTTTCCTCTCTCTGTTTACTGTGTCACATAGTGTGTTGATAGTTCCAGTCCTTAACATGTCCTTATCAATTTCCATATTCACACCGTTACTCATTGATCTTTTCCCTACCCTTACGTTCAACTCTGTGTTTGAAATAATACACAACCACCTGATCTTCTTATATCTGCAGGCTCTGTCTTCTGCATAGGCAACATTGGAAGGACTAACCTTAATGTGCTGCCTGCAGTGCAACATTTGAAACATCTGTGTTTTCTTATCTCTACGACTTGCTCTTTCTTCTCGGCCATGTTTCCCTAAGCACTCCTGGTCACCTTGTTGTCAGGATAATGTAACATGCTGAAGTGAGTCATTGTGTAGTTTCCATCATCTGTGGAAACCGTCTTTATACGACACTTGGCCGTGGCGAGGACGCAAACTCATAAGAAAATCAGCAGCCAAATAAGCAATTAGCAAACTTCCAAGTCTGGTTCCAAATTTCTTGATCGCATCCCTAGCTTTTTTATCCTGCTTCTGAAGTCGTTGTCATCTTCATTATTAGTTACAGTGCCATCCACGTATACATATTAAGCCACATCATTCAGCCTCCTCCTTAGTGAATATCCTAGATTTTAAGAAACCTTTATATTGTATTCGAGAATAGGAGGTCGTTCAACGCTCAGTTATGTTTAACTAGCAGCCCGAAACAATGGCAACCTCATCTTGTATACTTTTAATACTTTCCCCAAAAATCTCACATTGCATTAATGAATGCCGTAATCGATTTCGAGTGGTCACATATCCTAGGAGTACCTTTCTCAGGAACTTTCAGAGTTCTTTCCTCAATACTCTGCTATTTTGTTATGATCCCAAATGATAACGGAAAGCTTCTTCAGCTTTTGAACAGTTGTTGTGGAAGTTGCTTTCAGTAACTTCGTCATAGTATTGTCAGGTAAAACATATAGTGGTATAGTTATGCGGGATCCGTTAGAACAGTTCTCATCACATTTTCCTCTGTAAGTAGTAAGTATTTTGCTGTATTTGTCCTGCACTTTCTTCCTTCTGTATCATATTCATTTTCCTGGTTTCAACCAGTGCCCATCAGGAGCGTAGTTAGCCTTTGTTCAGAGACGATTAATTAAGTAGCGGATCCAGGGCAGTGCCTTGGTACGGGAACAAAGGGGTTCAACAAGTCGTGTTTTTTTCTGTTTGAAAATTGATTTGATTCACCTGCCTACCAGCGTACAGGCAGCTAGGCACTCTGCCATTACCGTCTAAATCCGTCGTTTCTAGTTATTTTTTCACCATTTAGTTCTCTCGCTGTTACAATAGATATATCACGTTTGAACAAATTTGGACAAAAATAGTTTACAACGGAGCCTGCCCGGATATTGACTGCTTTCCAAAATGAATTTCGGAAAAAAATCCGGGATTCAAGCGAATTGCCCACACCTGTAGAGGTTCAATATGTACAAGGTCCTCTGATGAGAAAAGCAAGTCAAACATTGCTGCGCTATCGTGTTTTGATGAAATATATAATGATAAATGTTGTTAAAAGATTACTTTGTTGAAACTGTGAATTATTTCTAACTGGTTTGCAAAATGTAATGTACTTTATGTTCCTCTTACCATGTTTTTCTTTGTCAAATGCCATTTATTTTTCATTCTATATCCTGTAATATATTAGCACAAACGTACATTACACCTGTAAGGAGTGACACTATGTTCGTGTATCTTTGTTTTTTAAAACATGAATCTTATAAAATTATTGAATACTTCACATAAAGAATACGTCTCGCAAGACTTTACGTGTGAGGGATATTCAATCACTCCTGCAAGATACTGATTTTTGGAATATGTCTTTATGTCGCTTGATAATTCTTTATCTCGTTTCACGTGGTTGTATGCACTTGTACATGCTGTAAGCCAGGTAACAGGTTGGAGAACTGTTTTTTTTTGCAAGTGTGACAAATAATCATATTGAAAATCAAGTTAAATGTATATAAAGGTTATATGTAACAATGTGAGCATTAGTTAATCATTAGTACTGACAAACGGGCTTTAATAATATATTAAATATTATGTTGGGTTTTACCTTTTTAATGTTATATGAGATAAAGCTCTTTAAATCTTGAGAGCCTTTTCGTTTGTTCAAGCGTTTAAAGATTACTCATAGTTATGGATAGTTTTCAAAGCGGCACATGTAAATAAAGTGTCCATTTCCTGATTGTCAAAAGGATTTTATCGTCTTTTAAATTTTCAAAACATAGATAAACACGGCCTATTCATTAAAATCATTGGATTTGACACCTCCCTCCCAGACCAAACTGAATATTAAAAATCAATCTGATAATTTATTAATAAACAAGTCTGCTAGAGATCCCTGAATTTTTTTTAATCAAGATTCATTCTCTGAAAACGCTTTAAAATGGTATCGATTTCAAAACAGCTGTTCTTGTTTTTTTCAGTGAGCCACACAATGGCAGTCATAAAGTAACGGAGAATGGTAGCGTTATTCTGTTCCACTTCTCGCGAGATGACCTGCGTGCATTGTCGCATTCCAGTTTGTGCTATGATATAAATATACTGGGGAGCATTCAGCACCTCAACAAGCCAACAAACTTCAACTTTATCCAGGTACCCGGCTGTACGTCGGGGTCAACGGGAGATATTATGGGACAACATGGTAGATTAAGGGCGGACAGTGAGTCCCGCAGTCGGAGAGCAATGCCTCTTCTGGGGTCAGATTTTGACTTGACAAATGAGAGGATCAGATCCGGAAGTGATATCACACCTCTCCAAAAGCAGGCATTTCTTAACAACATGAACGCCAAATCAGACATGTTGCAGGTTACAGGAATAAAACGGTTGAAAAGTGAAACTTTATCGGAACCAGAATCAGATGAAACGGCAGTCGATGTTAGCAAAAAGAAAGTACTCGATCTGTCTCCTCTAAAGGACCTTCGGTTCGCTACCCTGGGCGTGGGTATCGGCCTTCTTACATTGTCATTCCAGTCTTCGTTTGTGTTCCTTCCCCCGCTCGTGCTACAAAAGGGTTTGTCAGAGAGCCAGGGTGCTTTTCTAGTCTCTATAACAGGTGCTATGGAAACGTTTGGTAGCGTGTCGTCTGGTTTCCTGGTTGACCTTGACGTTGTGCGACCACACCGCCTTACATTCTACAACGCTGCCATGGTGTTGCTAGGTGTGCTTACGTTGGCGATGCCCTTCCTTGATTTCTTCGTCCTACTTGCGTTTGTTTGCGGCGTTTACGGCTGTGTGCTCGGTATGTGTCTAGCACAGAAGGCTACGTTTGTCGTGGATATCACAGGAATCGATAATCTTGTCAGCTCCTTCGGGATTCTCGTCTGTTTTCAGGGTATCGGTACCCTTATAGGACCGCCACTAGCAGGTAACTTTCTATTTTATGATACAGCACTCACATTGTTTACAAAATATAAGCGGTAAGAACGCTTTTTGACCTTAAATGCACATTAATACAGAATAATTATTGTATTATCAACAGCGAGATTATATAATATATTTATCATATTTCTAGTATTGAAATTTCCGTCATTTCATTAGGAATGTTTTGACTTCGTAATTTAAACGTTTTTTAATTCACATTGCTTATTTACTGCGGACCTGAACATGTGGCTGGAAATGAAAATAGTTGGGTGTTTACTTCATGCTTATTGTTCTTACTCAAGATTGAAAAGTGGACAAATATATGCATTATTTGAAATCTGCTAATATCTAACATAAGCATTCTTTTATTTGAAAGCTGCATTTGCAGATAAAATAGAAAGGAGGGTACCAACTACCTTATGACATGTATATTTACTTAAGATTCCCTTTTTTGCATGTGAATTGTACAAATAAGTCTTTTAATTAATCCTCAATGCTTTTTATGTGTAAATTTTGTTTTATCCTATTATATTTGCAAAGTCGTGTAATGATAAGTACCTAAAATTGTTACCTTTACAGGTGCTATAAAAGACATGACGGGACGTTACACGGACGGATTCCTAGTAGGAGGCGTCATATTGATAATCGCCGGTTTTATACAGGCCGGTGGCCTCCTTCTTCATCGTCTCTCTCACAGTAAGAAGGACACATAGACATTGCAACACATAGACAGCACGTCAAAGTTTGTAAATCCATGTATCAAGAGATGTACTGCAATGTACTTGGTCGATAGGCTTTGAATTACGAGGGCAAGAACATTATTCTCGAGGGAAAGGAGCGAAAGAATGTATGATATAGAAAGAATGTAATCAACATTGGCGGAGTACCAAAACGAAATTTCCACTGGAATTCAAGTCCGATTTCCGCTTTCATGTTGAAGTCTCAGGTATAGACAGAAATTGCAAAAATACGCCGAAATAGTTTTGTAAGAGAACAAATGCTTCAATGGTGACTTTTTTAATGGAAAACTCGGAATACAGTATCAACCCACGACATGGTGCTGCTACAAAAGACTGCTCCTAATAGTATATATATAGCCACATCGTGCCTAAACTGTTAGCTTTAGGCTTGTATATCGCTCGAGCAATTTATTTTCGCGAGCACTTGCTGATGCAATACGTATATGTGACTTATTCGCGAGCAAATCACTTTCACATTCCATGCTTAACTGCTTAACATGTGTCTTTACGAAGGATACTTCGCGACATATATGTTTAAGAGAACTGTATCAGCCGGACTGCAATAACATCAAAGAGTGAGAGGAAAAGGATATACATGTGTGTGAAGTAAAGATAGTTTGACGATGATAGTGATTGTTTGGAATACCTGTCATTCCGAACGCTATTTAGACACGTACAGATCCGCTACAGGCGGTATATTAGTGCCTTATAGTTTCTTTCTTTATGATTTACATAACTCAGCTGAGCACATGATGAGAAAATTTATGAAGGCCTTCGCCTGAGTTAACTATTTACCCAACATATTCAAATCTCAAGTTACAGTTTCCACCTTATAATTAACATACAAATGATCTTTGAAACGAGCATGCATATGTTTGTAATCCTTTTTAGTCACCTGTCTTTAAATATGACACATTTCGTTGATAATCAACAAACTTTGAGCATTTCCTGATTACAATAAATATTCGTTTGGATGTAAAACCCGTCCTCTAGCACTTTGGAATTGTTTCAGTGTCTGTAGGTTGCATGCTGGCCTCTGCTGAAAATCAAAACGTGGCAACACGTCTGATCACATGAAAAGGGTTTGGACGTCTGAAGATACAGCCGATTGAATATTTAATTTTCTAGGTCATGCTTCATTATTTGTTGGACAAAACTGCATTTCATTGCAATATTTGTTTTTATTACGATGGAATATGTTACTCGAGATTCGAAGGTATTGGTAGACATACACCGAATGTCTGTGGGCTTTCGTTGATTAGTTTTTCAACATTTCTGATTTGAGTTTTATATTCTACCACACAATGCATGACCATATGTTGACCTTCGTCATACTTTCACTGCAGTTACACGGTAGAAAATTCAAGACTAACGTTTTAAACACGGTAATTTTCTAACTATTCGATAATTGGCTGATTGTTTTAGCACTTTAAATAATAGTATATGTAATGTTAATCCACATAAATTATGACGAATGCAAGAAATATTATGTAGTATCTTAGATACAAGAAATCTGTCGGAGTATGTAAGAAACAAGAAATATGATGTGTTACGTTAGAGACAAGAGATATGATGTGGTTATTTATTACAAGAAATAAAATGTGGCATGTAAGTAACAGGAAATATATTGTGTTATTTAAGATACAAGAAACATGATGTGGTTTGATAAAAACAAGAAAAATAATGTGATATGTTGTATACAATAATGATGTGGTATTTGAAATACAAGAAAAATGATGTGGCATTTTAGATGCAAGAATTATGATGTGGTATTTTAGATGCAAGAAATATGATGTGGTATTTTAGATGCAAGAAATATGATGTGGTATTTTAGATGCAAGAAATATGATTTGGTCTGTTACATAAAGATATACAATGTGGTATTCTAAATACAAAGAAATATAATCTAATGTGTTTGATACAAATAAAATATTATGTTTTAAGTTGCGTTGTAACCGTAGATTAAATTGTCTTGTTTAACAAAAAATACGCCATGTTCTTGCAATTAATATGTCGTTTCTCATCAAAGTCAATATACGCTAAAAGAGTGAGGCTAAGCTTAATAAAGTCATTGTTCGCTTAACAAAGTCATTGTACGCTTAATAAAGTCATTGGTCTCTTAATAAAGTCATTGTACGCTTAACAAAGTCATTGTACGCTTAATAAAGTCATTGGTCGCTTAATAAAGTCATTGTTCGCTTAATGAAGTCATTGTTCTCTTAACGAAGTCATTGTGCTCTTAACGAAGTCATTGTGCTCTTAACGAAGTCATTGTACGCTTAATAAAGTAATTTGCACGCTTAATAAAGTCATTGTACGCTTAATAAAGTCATTGTACGCTTAATAAAGTCATTGTTCGCTTAATAAAGTCATTTACACGCTTAATAAAGTCATTGTACGCTTGATAAAGTCATTGTTCGCTTAATAAAGTCATTGTTCGCTTAACGAAGTCATTGTGGTCTTAATAAAGCCATTTGCTATTCTTTTCATGTTCTTTTAATTTAGGTCGTTTGTGACTTTAATTAAGCTCATGAAATATCAAGTGTCTGCCTGTTTTATGTGTTATGGCATATATTTTTGATCAGGGCTGATATTGGTCGAGGGCTGATACGGAGTAGGATATGGAATTGGTCACATAATAACCTCTAACTACACAATTTTAAAAGATTTTGCGATACAGAAAATACCTTTGTAATTAACCCAATTTAATCTTGAAAGTGTGTGTATTGTACGCAATATTCCTGATAGAGTTTGGAGTGTTTGTAGCAATAAACGAAAGCCACCAATGTTACGTCATTGTAGTTTAAGCAACGTGCTCGCTGTAAACGTATTTGACTGACCTGATGCCAGTATATTATTATATTTATACATATATATTATATTGTTATCCAAGTTTACAATGGTTAACTGTTTTGTTTTGTCTATGATTGTATATGTACGTTTGTTCCTTAAGGGGAAGCAACTGATAACGTGAGTATGCATTTTTATTATGAAAGGAGATGTGTTGTTATCCATGTGTAGGAGGTTAACTTATTATTGCTACTACAACCTTATAATTATGTTTGTTTGTTCGGGCAAGGGAAGTAACTGAAGACGCGAGTATGATTTTTTTAAGAAATGGAGATATGTTATTATCCAAGTTTAGTATTTAGTTGTTAAGACGACTGTATCAGTGTACAGAACACGCATGCTACTCATTAAGGGGAGGTAAATGAGGCATGGCGACGAATAAAAGAATGGTTGTTGGTTGTCGTCTGTTTTTGTTGTTATTACATTTGTATACATACGAGTATGCGTAGTTTGCTCTTCTGTTTTTCAACACGAAAACATTCTAGAATTCTAGGAATAGCATCTTTCTACACCACAAATAGGAACAGGAATTTAAATATATGTAAGCGACTGGGTTGTATAAAATCAGAAATGTTACGAGAATACATTTCTACCCTCTTCTTTATGTTAAAGATATGAAGGAATTTCTATCTTAAATTTTTGGAAAGTTAAACAATTTATAAACATTTTTTTTTACCAAATAGAGGAACATCCATTATTGCATGAACAGTGTAATGTTTTCATATTGTTACGCTTTTCGTTAGAAGACAAACCCAAAGTTCGAATTTGACGTCACGACATATTTGATCCCCGATTTCGCTATCAGTATTGTGGTATGCTAATTATCCGATCAGCATAAGTCACGAAATATTTCAATAACAATATTTTGTGTTGGTAAGCTTATTTAGAGACTGTATCATGGAAAATATTCCAATGCTATTTATTTCAATGTTATCAATGTTTCAACACTAAGTAACACAATACGACATGAAAATGATGGTCGATTGTGTCGCGTGCACCAGCTGGTGACCTTAACTGAGATTATATTGTATCTGGGTTATCTGATACTGGACTGTACCTATATCGGTAGTACCACACACTTACCTGTACAGGTAACACTGACAAGTACCTTTATGGAGTAAACAGCACGAGAATAAACAAAACTGTATATCTCTCGAACCCGGATATAATTAAGAACTATTTGTTTCATAACACATATGGAGGCACGTCCTTAAATGACCTTTAATGTCTATAAGACGTTTAACAAAATAAAACTCATCCAAACTATTTGTAAACTACATTTAAATGATGAGCAATGAGGTCCTTCTCTCACTGTTTCTCTCTGTAAAAACAACCATACAACCTGTATCAACAGTAGCGTAATAGTATTGTCTTTTCCTTAACTGATGTCAATGTATCAATATAATTAATCGAATCACGTGAAGAACGCCCTTATCAAAAATATACAGAGAATACTACTTAACAAAATGTAAAACAAAAATAACGAAACTCGATAACTATATATGTATACTGTCCTCTTATTGAGGCGGTCATCACAATTCATGGGTTATTTTCCCCCTCAAATGAATCATTTAGTTGCAATTCATATATAGATTCAGCTGTTGTGTTTCACTTTATCTACTGATTAGGGTAAATAATAGCAATGCACGTGAGTGTTAATACGTGCATGTGTACATTGCTTTAAATTTTAAGATGGTATTGCCATTCTTACTTAAAAGTGTATCGTTTAATGGCCTATCGTATTAAAATAAGCTTTATGTATCCAGGGTTGGGTTCAATGTCATGCTTCATCAAGTATTACGGGTATGTGTATATTTTATTTTTGTTTTTTTGTTTTTCATTATTTTATAAATAGCCATCAACCAGACATACAGTACACATAAACTCTCACATGCAGACAAAGGCAAGGGTTCTCAGTCATCATCATCAACATCATCATCATCAGCAACAATCATCATCATCACATATACACAATGACAGGTATATTACTAATGCCGAAACAGGTATTACCTCCCTTAGAATGTAGATCTATGAATTTTACCTGACAATACCAAATGCCGAAAAGGGCCCGTTCTACATTAAACACCGTAACGGTAAACATTGCCTCCCCCGATAATCTTTACAAAGGTATGCATCTCTATAAAATGTACTTCAAATTGTATTCAAGATTGCCGCCATGACCAAGTAGGCTCTGAAAACAGAAATTAGACGTTGTTTAATATGAATCAGTATAATTCAGAGATTTTGGGATTTATTTTCTTGATTATTCTAAGTTATAAAGAAACATATTGGAAAATAATCTTTTCAATCAGATACTAGCCGCAAATATCCTGTTGTTTTATTTAAATGAATTTGATACTTTGGGACATCATGATTATTTCATCTTTTAAAATTACACTTCCGATTAAACTTTAGGCTATGGCCATGGAATCTAATAATTAACTCTGTTACTATAACAAAAAATAAGGAAAAATATTATTGGTCAAATGTCAGTCATAAGTTTGTTCATATAAAAACAGGGAATTTAGTAATTAGATACTTTGATCTTTTCATCACTTTCAGATACAGGGGCGTCAAAAAAACATCCAAAACAAAAATAGCAAAAGACACTTGTTACTATTTTCGATAAATGCAAGTGTCTTCTTTGACTGATATTTAGCTGGATAATTCAAACGTGTTTTATACAGTAACATTGAAGCTCAGTTCTCATTCACGTATGAATGTAGTCGTAAATACACCACGGTTGATTTGAGATAGCCGTCCTTCTCCTTTGTGGCTAACAGAAATACGCGGACTGCCTACGAACGTATTGTTATACTTTGTTTACAATATAATGAACCCACGTATACAATGACGATTCAAATTTCAGTTTCCAGTTTTCCTATGTAGTAATTCAAGAAAATTCAATATTTCCTTGTCTCCAAGACATTATTAAAGCATTAAAGGGACATCGCGTGAAGAGCCATATTTTTTTAATAATATGAATGTATGTATTGTATGCACTTCCACTTATGTTACCTCGCTATCCCCATATTCATAGTCCGTTCCAAATGTCCAGTTTGACCACTTGAATTGTTCGGGAAAGCCCTGCTAAAAATAGCGCCGATAACGTCACCTGACTAGGCAGGAAACGGTTTCCAAAGGGGCCCCCAGAGATGGTCCGTCAGGCAACTGCAACTTCTTACCGCGCTATGAAACCAAGTAATCTGATTTCTAAGTCCGTATTGAAACTTATTGAACAGTAATTATTCATCCTCAGAAGTTAATTGCATACTTGCCAATAATCAGAATTTAAATTTATTTAGCTTTTAACATATTTGTTGCCAATAAAATTGAACAAGGGATGGGGCACAAGTTTTTACAATTTATCACAGCCTTCTCCCGTCATACATTTACAATTAAATGTCATCAATGATAATAGGCATAAATATAAAGTAGATATTTATAAATATATATTGAATTTATTACCGGAATGTGACCGGTACCACGGAATAAGTCCGTGCCGGTACAGATGGTACGGGGCTAAACACCTTCCCTCAACCATGGGACAAACCTTTCTGTAAAAAGGAATATTCACGAGACGAATATCCCTTTTGAAATGTTTTCATAAAGTGCATACATGCAATGACAAAATACACGCGTATAAAAAAGGAGAAACGTTTGTGATTTTTTTTATTACATTGTACAACTCAATGTCTTTGGCCAATTTTTTTTTCTATACCATGCATATAAATGTATGCATACTCTCTTTCTCACTTTCGCTAACACTTAGTAAGTCATATTATATTTTAAGCCATCACACACAATAAACTGTATGGCAATACCACTACGTGTATATGTAGAATATGTGTCAGATATGGAACGTGTTGATATACTTGATCATTATATTTTTTCAATTCTTTACATAGATTAAAGCATTCTTGTAAATGGACCCTTTTTTATGTTGAGACAACTTTTCTTTAATCATTTCTTTTTTGTCCGAAACAGAAGCCGTAGTTATCGGTAGCAACGCGTCATTTTTTACAACGTAAACAAATGTTTTCCCCTGTATTCAATACGTATTCCGATTCTATCTGAAGTCGAAAATTAATTCTTTTTAGAGAAAAGGTTGTTACATGAGCATACATTCTAAGTCAACATCATATAAAAACATGAACTGTTGAAAAAATTCGATATAAAAAAGAAATGTTAGCGATCCTATTTACTAGAAGTAGGTTCTCCTTCCTAAGTTATTCATCCTGGTCCGTCATTTTGACATTTTTAATCTAGCTGGGAAAACGTATACGTAGCTTTCTGACGAAGAGCGATTTTTTTTATATATTGCGTCGTCGCGCCAGAGGAGGCCGGGTATTCATATTAGTACTAATTTAAATCTTGCATGTTAAAACATTTTTTTTTTTAAATCAGCAATATAATTTAATCATACCATTTTACGGAACCCGGTAATATTATAAATTATGTAAATCTAATAGCGCACGTATCTCATTTGACCCCGATCTCGCGAGACGCCGTGGCCATCACAACAGTTATCCCTTGGAGGGCCTCATGGAAAAATCCTTTCGCATAAACCAAAGTTAACTCTCTCCGATACATGCCCATTAACATATTAAACTAAGTTCATCTGTGTTCAAACTCAGACAAAGATACTAGCGAGGTTAATAGTTTTAGATATTTATTCATTTATTAAGTCCACTACACACCCTAACCGTACTAACTGCTAGGGCAGTTATTTTATGCTTTTAATACTTCCCACTGGCAATAATGATTCCGTAACGTACTCCTTACGCTATCATTTGACCATTTGGCAACTTTTCGCTCCGTAGCTGAGACGGTACAACACTTTGATTTCGCTTACTTCACACGGCCAGTCATTTTGTTTACAAAGAAATGGTGTGATATGCGCATGTGCTAGCAGAGGGAAATCCCTGAACAAAACGTTGGTCAGACAGGTAGAAATACCGATGATTATCTTAAATTTAATCATTTTTATGAATCTATTTCAGCCAAATCCGATCGTTATTTTCCATAAGGAGTCTCACTTGATATGTTTATGTAGTATTTGAAAAAAAGACAAAAAAATAAGTTACTTTACCGTGATGCCCCTTTAAATAAACAGCGATCAAGGTCCTTATCTAATAGTGAAGTCATTTATTTGTTTTATTCAAGACAACTGCAATAAAATTCATTTATAATGTAGAACACACCGTAAAGAATTATTACAATTATATAATTTTGCCTTCACATTCTCAACCACATTTGCAAAGCATGCTACATCAATGGCTGCGTTTACCTATTTCTATTGCAACCTCATATTAAAGCCTCGAGTTGTTTCGTCCGTAACGACTTTCAAGCACATGATTTTGTAATTCCTAGTCCGATATTTGAGGACATGTCGGTA